GCTTCAAAGATGGCAAATTTAGAAAAAATCCTGGGGTGCCCGGGTGGCTCAGTCGGTTAAGTGTCTGACTCTTGGTTTTGGCTTAGGTTGTGATCTCAGGGTCCTGGGATCCAGCCCCGCATCTGGCTCTGAACTCAGCGTGGAGTCGGCTTGAGATTCTCTCCCTCCTCCCCCCTCTGCCCCTCCTGCTCATGCTGTCTCTCTCTCTCTCTCTCTCTCTCAAATAAATAAATACAATCTTTAAAAAGAATCCCTAGGGCACCTGGGTGGCTCAGTCGTTAAGCGTCTGCCTTCGCCTCGGGTCATGATCTCGGGGTCCTGGGATCGAGCTCCGCATCGGGCTCCCTGCTCCAAGGGAAGCCTGCTTCTCCCTCTCCCACCCACACCGCCCCCCGCTTGTGTTCCCTCTCTCGCTATGTCTCTCTTCCAAATAAATAAATAAAATCTTTAAAATAAATAAATAAAAAGAATCCCTAGTCTAAGTTCTTTCATGTTGTCACCGGTAGGCTTTCTTTTTAGCTGCATTTATAAGAAAAAAATTAAACTACTAGATGGGGGTTGTCTTTGGAGCAGTTAAGAGTCACAGATGCTGGTGTTCCTGGGCAAGTGACTTCACCTCTCTGAGCCTCACTTTTCCTCATGGGGCCATGCGGATAATGATGTTGCCTCCCTCCTGGGATCACTGAGGATTCCATGATATTCCATGATGCCCCCGAGATGATCCTCCCAGTGGCCGGTGTTCAGTGAGCACTTAACACCCAGCAGCCCTTAGTGCTGGCAAATACTCCTCAGGCCTTTGGGGTTTGGGAATATGAGCAGCACGGGCCCTGGTCAGTGGAAATAAGACCGCTTGCCCCACCCTGCACGTGGGGAAATTGAGGCCTGGAGGAGTCAAGGGACTTGTCGAAGGTCTGTTGGCATCCCTGGAACCAGAATGTGGTTTTCCAAATCTGTATCTGTTAGCAAGGCTAGGTTATGCTGCGGTAACAAAGGGGCTCCATATCAAAGTGTCTCAACACAACGAAAGTTTATTTTGTATCCAGCACAGTCTGCTATGAGTCCAAGGGGTTCTCCAGGGCAGTTGCCCTCCAGGTGAAAGCCCAGGGTTCCAGGCTGCCTCTGTTTTGCGGTACCTCCATCTCCGGGTCACTGAGGCAGGGAAAACAGCATCATCCCATCACTTCCTTCCTCAATTCACTGGCCAGCACTGGCCGCATCGCCTCCCCCTCCATAAGGGTGGGAGGTCCCGAGGAGGAGGGAAATGGCTGTGGGTTACTACTCACCATCCTAGTGGGATGAAGGCCAGTGGGAGTTCATGCTCACAGGTAAACTGAGTCAAAGAGAAAAGGGTTTAAAGCTGGAATGATTCCTTCCCCAACCTGAGCCCCCAGCTCCCTTCTTGGAGCAACCACGCTTACCCTGTGGATTCTGTGAGTTTGCAAGCAGGGTGTGTACAGAGGTGCCCCTCTTGAAATACAAAGGAAGCCTTATTATTCTTTCTCACTCCTTGAAGAAGCAGGCAGGTGTTTGTCATGGCCTCTTGCTCTTGCATCGGGCAGCGCCTTCACATTTATATAATCAGTCTCCCTGGATGGGTGTCTAGGTGGTTTCTAAAGTTCTGCTATTATCAACAGTGATGCAATGGATTTCCTGTGCATCTTCCCTTGTCATCCATGTGAGCGTTTCTGTGATATAAATTCTAAAAATGGAATCGCTAGGTCAAAGGGCAAGTGCATTGAACAATCTGACAACTCTCTGGCACCAGGTGCTGCCTCCGGGGTCAGGAGGAGCTTTTAAGAATAGTGGCTGATGGAGCCCAGTGAGTTCCGGGGACCAGGCTGAGTTCTCCGTCCTGGGGAGGAGTTTCCAGATGGGCCACTGAGGAGGGGAAGCAGGAAGAGGGGAAGCCCTTTCCATCTTGACTCTGTGATCCCAGTTCTAATACCGGTGCTCTGCCATGCCCATTTCACAGATAGCGACCACTGAGTTCTAGAGAAGTTGAGTCACCTGCCCACAGCCACCCAGGGAGCAGCATTTGAGCCACGGTCCCAGCCTGGGCTGAGTTCTCTTGGTTCCAAGATCCCAGCTCCACGCTGGAGACCTCCCGGATCCTTTCTTTACTGGCTCCTCTCAAAGACACTCATATCCCCCAAGAGCTTTCTTTTGGGAAGTTTCTGAAACTCATCTTCACTTCCTCAGGGACTCGCAGGGAGGGTTTAGTTCTATGGCTCCTCGGCTGCAGACCCATCAGCCTGTTCCTTTTCCCCTTCCTTGTTTTCTTATCCGCTTCATCTCTTTGCAAGAGGGAATGGCTACTTACAAGGCTCGGTCTTGTTGATTTTTAAATTCTCTTTCCTTTGGGGACAACTTCCAAAGAGAGCTCCATCCCCTCCACACCCGGGGAGCAGGGGATTTCGGTCCCTCACCTTCCAGACAGCAAGAGGCTGACACCCAGCCCGCTCTGTGTCTTTCCCTTGTGGAAAGGCAAGGCACTCTCTCTCTGCTTTGTTGTCCTGCCTCCCACTCCAGGCCCCAGCTGGGGCCTGGGTGGTCCTCCCTGGCAGGGTCTCTCTGGCAAGGGAGAGGGTGGGTCGCCCCCAGGCTGTTTCGGTCAGACCTCCCTCTTGGGAGGACCTTCACTCTAGGGAAGAAGGGGCCGCAGCTAAGGACCGGGGCCTGGCCTTATTGCTCTGGGAGGAGCCCGGATTTGGGGCAGCGTGGTGGTGGTGGCTCGGGAACCCAGTCCAATACAGATGGGATGGGGAGAGAGAGTAAGGAAAACAGGTGCAGGGAGACCTGAGCAGCCAAGCTCTGGGGCCTCTTGGAGGCACAAAGGGTCTGACGCTTTGGCAACAACATCCACCGGGGAGTGGCAAATGTGGCTGTCACCCCCAGTGGGGACGCAGGTGCCCCTGGCTGAGGGGTGGGTATGTGGACGGTGTGACAGTGCCCGCAGGAGAGGTGCTCTGCCCGGGACCACAGTTGTCTCATTAACGTCTGTGAGTCCTTCCTGAGGCCCACAGAAACCCTTGGGGGCGGCTTGACAATGACCATGAGCAGGACAAGGGTAAGAGCCAACGGCACGCAGGGGTGACTCTGCTACCGCTTTAGGGGAGGGCCATCAGCGTCGGGGGCATGGGTTTTGGGGTCAGACAGATCTGGGTGACCTAGTTGAGCCTGGACTGGCTGCACAACCTGGAGCTCCAATTTCTCATCCACACCGGGCGCAAGAGCCCCCACTTCGGTGGGCCCAGAGTAGGGACTGAACACAATGACTTTGTCCAATGTTCTGGGCCCTGCGAGTCCTCAGGGAGGCCTCCCAACATTGAAGTTAGAGTTGTGGCTTTGTCTGCTCACCCCTGGGGCGGTGGATTGGGGGGCGCTGAGTTACATCAGCGGGGGGACCTCAGGAAGCCACGATTCTCTGTCCCAAAGGGCTCCTAGTTATTTACAAAAGTGGGTTTTTACCCCCACTTTCCAGTCTCAACCTTGTGCTTTATTCCTTCTCAAAATAAATCTTACCCAAGTGATCACTACCCAACGAAGCAGGGGTCGGGGCTGAGAGCCCACTGACCTGGCTTTCTTTGCCCGCAGTCCCAATGCCCCCAAGGGTCTCTGAAAGGCTTGAAAACCACTGCTTTAGGCCAACAAGAGTAGCCACAGAAGTAGAGTGGCCGATAGATTCCCAGAAGGGGGTCATTTTCCCAAAGCATTTCTCACTGTGCTTCTGTAAAAAGACCACAGAAGTCAGGGAAGTCTTTGGATGAGAGATGGGTGTTTCTGAGGTCACCGGGCTGGGACCGGCTAACAGCCCTGACTCCAAGGGTCCATCTCCCCTCCAGCAGCACTGACATGGCCTAGAAAGTTCTTATGGGAAGTACAGGGGAGCTGGGTGAGGACACGCCCCTCTGCCTTGCCAAAACCAGACCCAGCCAGAACCCCCATCAGCTCACTTCCAGCTGCCTGACCTGCAGCAAGTCCCCGCTCTGAGCCTCAGCTTCCTCATCTGTAAAATGGGGCCCCGGATGAGAGGGGCATGGGGGGGTGCGGTGAGAGGAGCCGTGGGGCCCTGAGCAAGGCTCCTGGTAAATAACGGATCTTAGCACTTGTTAGTAGCAGTCGCAAGGGCGGTCCCAAATGAGGGCTGAAAGGAATCTAGAACCCTCACCCCAGAGGGGGAAAGGACTGGGCTAAGGTCAAACAGCAGGGTCAGAACTCAGGCCCCAAAGCCGAGGGCTCCGTGCCCTGAAGGGGAAGGCTAGTTGAGTGGAGGCCACCTTCTACCTACAGCATCGCATGGAAAGAAAGGATACAGATCCCCTGCAGAGGCTTGCCAGCGACTTCTGGGCTGGTCACAGGGGCAGGGGAGCTCTTTGGTGCTGACCACTCCCTGCCCCGAGAGAAGTTCCTGCTGCACTGTATTGTGGGCCACCAGGAGGCTACCTGGGGTGGAGGCAGGGACAGTCGGCATCGGTGAGCTAGATCAGGGAACAGTGCCACTGAGACACTAACCTAGGCACGGTGTGTAGCAGGGAGTATGGGGAAGCCCCTTGTCCTTGGATGAGGGGAGGGAGGCATCACTGGCCCAGTTTCCAGATGAGGAAATTGAGGCACTCTGCTCAAGGCCACAGACAGGATATGGGCTGCATACAGCGCACTATGACTGGAGACCCTGACTATTTCCCCCCCACCCCTGCCTGATTTTTAGAACTGGCATCACACCTTTATGACAAGTTCCCCATTCCTCATTTGTGCCTCATAAGCTGTGGGCATTTGTCAGAGGGGCCTTGAAATCTTCCGGACTCCCAAACAGATTTGAGAGTGGTTTTAGCCCTAGGGAACAGGAGGTCAGTCCCTGGGCCCATCTTACAGAGGGGGAAAGCGAGGCCCAGCCAGCTGAGGGACTTGTCGCGGTCCCTGGGGGCAGCAGTGTGGCCTCTGACTCCAGCCCAGGCCCTCCTGGGACAGCAGACCCCCTAGGCCCAGCTCCCACCTTCTCCCCCAACTCCAGTGCCCCAGTCCTCTGGAGGAAGATTTCCGTGGTCCCGGTTGGGGGTGCCAGACTGCCAGTGACGAGTGTTTTTTTAATCCCAGCCCGGCTGACTTAAAGGATTATTCTTATTTAAGGCAGGGACAAAATGCCAGAGCGTGGCAGTCGGTCACCTCCGGGCGGCGGCCCCTCCTCGCCTGCCTCCGGTGCCCAGCTCCAGCCCGGGCTGGAGCAGGAAAGGGAGGGGGGGAGACGGGAAGCAGGGGGAGGAAAAGGGGGGGAGGCACCGAGAAGGAGGAGGAGGAGGAGGAGGAGGAGGAGGAGGAGGAGGATGGAGAAGGGGAGGACACGGAGAGGGTCGGAGGGGGTAGGAGAGGGAGGCGGGGAGCGGGGAGAGGGGGAATAGAACACGGAGTGGGGCGAAGAGGGAGTAGGAGGGCAGAAAGGGGCAGGAAGGAGAGGAGGGGGAGAGGGGGAGGAATAGCACAGAAAGGAACACCCCCCTTGGCAGCTCCCCAAGCAGATAGGAGGAGGGAGGGAGATACACAGATGAATAATTTACTACAGAAATGCAAAAAGAATTTAGAAACTCTCAATTTATAAATATTTATTTTCACAAGTTCGCCCCCTCCCGACGCTCTCCCCCCTTTCTGGCCCTGGTCTTTTCTTTTTTGGGGGGGGCCTCCACCTCCCCCCATCTCCGCGCTGTCTCCGTCTCTCCCACGATCGCCCTCGCTGTCTCTGTCCGTGGCCGTGACTGTCTCTCCCAGTCTCGCCCTCTCGGCCTCTGCGACTGGGGTGGGGGCGGGGGTGGGCTTTCGCGGCTGCCTCTCTCTGTTCTCCACCTCCGTCCTTTGCTGCCTGAGTCTCCCCTGCCTGCGTGCGTCTCTAAGCCCTGTCTCTCGCTCTGTCTCTCCGTCTCTCGCTGTCTCTGGGTCGGTGGGTGTCTCTTCCGCTCCGGGAGCCCAGCCCCCGCCCCTCCCGGGGCAGGAGGCCGCAGGGTCGAGTGGAACCCTCGTGGGGAGGGGGCGAAACCCTTTGAAGGCTCCGAGGGGAGAGGTCGTTTCCCCGGCAACCGGCGGCCGATTGGCGGAGCCGCGACGGATTAACGAGCCGACTCCGGCGGGCGGGGGCGGGGAACGGCGGGAGCCACGCCCCGGACACGCCCCCAACCACGCCCCCTGCTCGGCTGCGGGGGCGCACCTGAGGTGGGATTTCGGAGACTCTTGCCGGGGCGATGGGGGCGAAAGGGGGTTTTGGGCAGTCCGGCCGGGAGGTAATCGGTCAATCAGTTAACCAATCAGTTAATCAGTCGGTGGGGCAGTCAGGTCCACAGAGCGGAAGTTAAGAGCTGGGGGTGTGGAATGAGGGGGAACTGAGTTCTAATCCCCCCCTGGGCCTCGTCCTAGCGCTGCGTCCCTGAGCGAGTAGGTCCCTGCACCCCGCCTGCAGCGCTCGCCCTCCGGGCCGGTCACTGTCACCCCGTCCGTCCCTTTCATTCACAGA